ATAGGTAATAACAAATATATTTTAGATAGAGAGAGAATGTAAAATTTATTTTATTGATATTGATAATTTTATAAGATATAAAATAAATGTGAGATAACAATATTAATCTTTATTAAAAAGTAAAAATATATATTTATTTATTTTATTTATTTAAAAAAATATACAAATAAAAAAAAAACAAATAAATAAAAAAATTGATTTTTTTAATAAAATTTTTTTGATCCCATCCAATCAAAAAAAAAAAAAAAAAAAAATATTTTTAATTCCCAATCAAAAAAGATTTTTTTTTTACAAATAAGAAAAAAAATAAAAATAAAAAATTTTTTATAAATGTTGGTGTTGACATAGGTTTTGGCATATGTGATATAGGTATTGGCATAGATAGCATAGGTGTTGCCATAGGTATTATATTGGCATAGATGTTGGCATAGGTGACATAGGTTTTGGTATTGGCTTAGGTTTTGGTGTTGATATATGTGTTGGTTTTGATATAAGTATTGGTATTGATTTTGGCATTGGTATTGGCATTAATATTAATGTTGATATTTGCGTTAGTATTGGCATTAGTGTTGATGTTGACATTGACATTGATGTTAGTATTAGCATTGGTGTTGGTATTGACATTGGCATTAGCATTAGCATTGGTGTTAGCATTGGCATTGACATTGGCATTGGTATTGGTATTGGTATTGGCATTGGCGTTGGTATTGGTATTAGTATTAGTATTGGTATTGGCATTGGCATTAGTATTGGCATTGGCATTGGCATTGGTGTTAGCATTAGTGTTAGCATTGGCATTGGCATTAGTGTTGGTGTTAGCATTGGCATTGATGTTGGTGTTAGCATTGGCATTGGTATTAGTATTGGTGTTGATGTTGATATTAGTATTGGCATTGGCATTAGCGTTAGTATTGGTGTTGGTGTTGGCATTGGCATTGGCATTGGCATTGGTGTTGGTGTTGGTGTTGATATTAATGTTGATATTGGTGGTGGTATTGGTATTTGGTGTGATAGTTATATATTTATAACTAACTATAATAAAAAAAATATTTAATATTTATAAATAAATTCTTTTTTATTTTATTATTAATATTTTACTTACATCTTTGGAGGTTTATTTTGTGAAGATGTATAATCTTTTGCCATATGATCACTTGTAGCCCAGCATTTAAAACAATAATTACAATATTCAATTGGAATATCTGGACAGTAATGTAATACACCCAATAGCCTAATTGATTACAAAAACAACACATATTCTTATAAAGCGGGTTTGTTGCTGCTGTTAATATTATTATAGCTGTGTTTGATAATTTTGATAATTTATTATAATTAAATTAGAAAATAATTAAAAACAATTAAAATTATTATATAAAACACATAAATATTATATTATTTACGTTGATGATGATGATGATAATGATGATATTGGTGGTGTTGGTGGAGGGACGAGGGCAGTTCCCACTAGTGGTGTATGCCTTCTACAGTGCCTTCTTGTTATATTACTTTGTATTTTTTTATTCTTCGCATCTCTAGCTCATTAAAATTACTTTTTTACTTTTCTGCCTAGCTGAAGACTCCGCAATCTTAAAAATACTAATTTGTAAGCTTATTTAGCTAAACTCTCTGAAATCTTATAAATACTAACTTGTTATTTTATTTAGCACAAGTACTTTGAATGCAAATAAGCTTACTATATGTGGAATGAAGTGAAGCAATATGCAAATTGTGAATACAATAAGTGGGCAAATGGTATGCAAATTGCCTCCCAATAGCATATTATAATGGTAGCACTTAATAGGAGAACAAGCAAAAGGAGAAGCATAGCGATGATGAATATGCAGTTCGACAGGAGAAAAAATATATATTAGCTGGAGTCCTTTAAGGCGGAAGCTAATATATATTTTTTTAACCCTATGCTACCCTATTCTAAAGTATGCTATTATATGAGACAAATATGAATGCAGGAGTTGCGAAGTACTGAAGGTGAGAAGCATGTGACCAAACTATAAAGCAAATTGTGAAAGTATACTCATATTCCTGACCGACAAGACAACAATGTCTGGCTAATGTTGCAGAGCAAAGTGTGTAAAAAAATGTAATCTAATATATTCCTAATATGCGTCTACTTCTCTTGATCTGATTTCCTCTAGCCAGTTAGCTTATCACCCGATTAGCCAAATAGATCTAGACTCATATCTGTATTGTTAAGCGTGTCTAGTGAATTGTCGGGCAGAGGTAGGTGGCTGAAAACAGTGTTGGGAAAAATCTGTTGCTCTTAGATGTAAAAAAATATATTTTATAAAAAGACTTCTATTGCCTAGAAGCTGTAATATAAAATCTTGTCTCAGCTTTTTTCATTATTAGGCCACCGGGTCTATATAACCAGTTTCAAACATATTTTTGGATTACCTGAGTTGCTTGATCACGTTTTTTATCCTGAAGTTTGTTTTTATAATAATTAGCTTTACTATAATGCTTTCCATCATATTTCGTACACATTCTATAAGAAGAAGCTGTTGATGTATCACATTCATCACAAGGAATATGAATTCATCTTTTTCAATGAATATGGCATCTTTCTTTCTGGTAACATTTTTTTTCACATACGCAACCATTAATATAGGTGTATAGACAAGAATAAAATGCTATGCCTTTCTGTTATTTTACAAATTAAATATTTTCTAAGGTTATTAAAATGAGATGACATTTAATATTATGGATTCAGATAAAAGAATGGAATCTTTATCTCAAGTGATTTCAGAGGGGTCAGCAAAAAAAGTGAAAAAAGCATTGCTAGAAGTGTTGGAATCGGCAATATGCTAGAAATTTAAAGAGAATAGTAAATTTGTTAGAGAGTATCTTAGTTATGTAAAAAAATGCGATTGGCAGAAAATCCTGATGGATATGTAAAATATCTTGCAAGAAAACAAATTCCAGATAAAATATCATATAATACAAGGATAGAGAAGGTTCAAACATGGTATCAGGAAGAATTATGTACTAAACTAGAAGAGTTATATAACCTTTATTATGAAATATCTCAGGAATAAAAATGTGAAATATCCAAAGAGAATGCAAAAGTAATTATTCAAGGACTTCTTAACATGTCACTTACAGATGATTAAATATGCAAAGCTGATAACTTTCTTAACTAGTTAGTACCCACTGGAGTGGCAATTTAGTATTACTTGCAATTCTTCACATACTGTTACCCAAGTGAAAATGAGATACAGCAAATCACATGATCAGAAATGTGATACAAAAGCATGATTAATATTCGTCA